AAAGAATTATCCAGTCCAAAATGTTAACAGTGCCCAGGTTGAGAAACCCTAATATAAACAAAATATTCCTCAACATGTCTTCTTATAGAAGCATTAATATCCTATCCTGGTTTTTCCTGAAATCAGTGTTTAGAGTCAATGAAAATAGCTATAAACCATAACAAGATGTTGCTGCAGTCTAAATGTTTGTGTTCCCCTAAAATTCATGTTTTGAAATCTTAACACCCAGTGTGATAGTACTCCTGTTAAGAAGTGAAGCCTTTGGGAAGTGAATAAGTCATGAGGGTTCCACCCACATGAGTGGGAATAGTACCCTTACAAAAGAGGCTCGAGCAAGCTCCCTTGCCCCTTCCACTATATGAGGACACAGCAAGAAATACCGTCTTTGAAGCACAGAGCAAGCCCTCACCAGACAACGAATCTACCAGTGTTTTGTTCTTGGACTTTCCAGCCTCCAGAACTGTAACCAAAAAATTTGTTTATAAGTTATCCAGTCAAAGGTATATTACACCAGCAGAAGCAGACTAAGACATATGTATTTAACACATACGTGCATGCACATCTAAAAAACTCAAGTTTATACAGTAAATTCTAAAATGATCATAGAACTTAGGAGTTTTCAACTCCAAATATTATACACTGTCACATACATACACAGGAGTAGAGAAATATATACATGCGTTTGATATGTTTTCCTTAAGGTATGATTGTTGCAATCTTCATTCTTCCTGTTTAAAGGATGCACAGGGAAAAGGAGAAATCTTGATGCAGGAAAGCAGGGAGGAATAACATATTAAAGCTTTAGCAGACTTCTTTTTAAAGGCACAATAAAGCCACACCACAAGGCAGAGAACTGCTTTCTTGATTTTATTTCAAAAGTACACACGTCACAAAACTAGAGCAAGTTTTTGTTTTTTTTTAAACAAACTTTGTTCTTACAAATTTCAAAATGTGCACCACTGGATATGTAAGCCAGAAATTTTAAATACAAAATCTGAAACTGACACTATCAATTCTCTACTTCGCATACGTGAAGTGTCAAAATATTTTTTTCTCAGTAGTACAAGTGTATTTATCACTAAAATTCACAGTTAGGGACAAGAATAAGTAAATCAATGAATTGTGGTTCTCTTAACACTTGTGTCATTAAATAAATTAGCAGAAAACACAACATTCTTCTTTGATGGAACTTTTAGTGTCCATTACTAAAACCAAACCCAACTGATATTCACTATATTCTTAAGTTACAAAACAGGATATTTACTTTGTAAAACTTAATAAAAGGCTGGTATTAACGTCCATAAGATAAATGATCAGCCTTCCCTATAGACAAATAAACATAACCACAATTCACAAATTTATTTATTATCCTTCCCTGCTTCTATAACATTTATAAAAAGAATCTGTGCTCCTTTATAGATTATTTTAGTGTCAAAATAGGCATATGAGTAAGAAATCCTATTGCAGAACATGTTGCCTTTATTGCTGGAATATCTGAAGGCATATGAAATATTAAACTTGCCCAGAACATTTACACTACTAAACACAAGAATATTATAAAGATATATGTACATATATATAATATATAATGTCACAAGCCACTAGAAAGTTAAAATTGTGCCAACATTTTTTACAAACTACTTCTTACATGACACACCAAAGTATTAACCACATAAAATATGGACTTTTTCTGTTCACACTAGGATAAGGCATCTGAAAGCCCTAAACACTGTTGAAACAAAACAAAAAAACTCTAAACATTCATATAAATTCAAATTTACATGCTGCACACACAAAAAGACACTGAGAATAGTTATCATAAGAAGCCACACATTACAGAATTTGACAGCCAACTTCATGCAATGAGTTCTTTTTAATCAAAATGTTTACTTGCCCCTAACTTGCTCCAAATTTCCAGGACTCAATCTTAAATTTTAAAAATTATCTTTTTGATAAAGATCAGGTATTTCTTCAAATCCATTATTTATACGGATAATTATTTGGGTTTTTTCAATTAACCTCCCCCTAAGACACACTCAGGCTATGTTCCCATGTACCAAGTGCATAGCAGATAGCTCAAATTTATAGGAAGTAATTTGTCCAGAATAACTGGTCAATGTAGTCAATAAGAATCTTTTTTGAGGACTGGAGGTGAGAAGCTTTCTAACGTGAATATTGTAAGATTACCAGTAAGAAAAAGAACACCTGTAAACTACTCTATATTCCAAGCCCAGAACTATATACGCTACAGTATCATTTCTCTTCAAATTATCCTGTGTAACTTAAAAGAGATGGTATCACATCTCTCAGGTATACAGTGGAATCAAATGGTTTTGCTTAGGATGCAGAGCCGTCCTTGACAGATGTTTGGCTCTCTAGTTGAAATGCTTTAATTTTTTGATGAACTACTTGGTGATAACCAATAGTAATTCTAGAACAAATATTGATCTCTGGCTCAATGGAAATTATCAGTACTATCTAACCTCTGGATCAAATGAAACTTACAATGAGAATAGCTGGTGACATAAGTCTAAACTAAACTAAGTCCTCTAAACTTAATCACACTCACTCAGTCTCTTCAGGTTACGTAAGTGATTTTTCACAAGCCTATTACCTCAGACTGTAGTTGGTATGATTCTGAGCTAAAAGCCTTTCTGGAAGAAATTCTGATTTATTTATAGCTAAATCTTAGATAAACATGATATCTGAGGGAAGGAAAGTCTTACATGTCTGCTTTGTATATAATTTCTACTTAGATTGATGGCATAATCTTTATTACATGAAAATAAGGAATAGGAAGGACCAAAGTTTTTTTACTATTAAAGTTTGTGTCCTGTTTATTTATTTATTCTTATATCTTATAAATAAGTTTTATTCATATAAAACAGGTCAAATACCTGGCATTCAAAAATAGCTACTGTTATAAAATCAGAAACACAAAAGAGTGTTTGGGATGTTAAAAATTTTAAATCTTTATGAATAACACAATCATTTAAGATACATCCAAAAAGAACAGAGAAGAAGAGGCAAGATTGAAAGTATGAGGATAGAAAGGTGTGTCACAGTGATGCATTTTTAGAAACAGTACCTTCACCTCTAAGCACCTTTCAGGTAGGTGATAGCTAGCTCATAGGCACCAGAAATTCATAATAGAAATTAAATTACCCAAAAGGCACAGATGAAAATGTTAACACAAGTATAAAAGTAATTTTATGTAAGGTCAAAAACCTGTTTAAAAATGCTTCCAAATATGTAAAACTATACATTAATCCATTACACAGACATTCAGCTTAAGTTTACCATTAAAAAGTGTACACAATACTCTGCCTAGTTGTAAATACATGCCATCATTAATTTATAATGTAGCATTTATTACCACAGCACCCAAAAAGGTTAATAGAAACCAACTCCCTACTAAAATCTAGGGAAAAGGTTTTAGAGTTAGTGAAATAATTTATTGCAGACCTTATATACTAAAGAAACTGTTGGCTCATCCTACTATATCCACATTCCCTCACAATCTTAAGGGAAATACAATAAATCCACTTTCTTCTGCTTAAACAGTATTTAACACATTTGGCAGGTAGGAGTATTCCTTTTCTCCTTTTTCTAAATTTTCTTTTCTTTTTTTTTTTTTTGAAGAGTAAATCACTCTCACAAAACTAGACTCAAACTTTTTCAAAGCTCAACTTGATTTACTAGAACTACACAAAGACATGTTTGGCCACACAACAGCAACAGTACCTTCTCCCAAGTCTGGAATACAGAATTGATGGAAGACACTACTTGCTTAAAATATATTTGATCATTCAGCCTATGAAGATAATATCATCCAGGAACTGCATTCAAGAAGAGTAAATTTAGGATTACATGTTTCTAGAACATATAATATGTAACACTATCCAAAAAAAAAAAAAGGCAAAACAACAAACAACACTGAACCAGAAAAAAAACCCCAATAAATTTAGAATTGATAACTAGGGAATTTCAATCTACAATTGTCAAATAATAAATGAATTATAATATTTTCTTATTAGAAAAATATCACTTAAAGTGGAGAGCCAGTGTTCAGTTGGGAACTGTGAAATACTACATCCTTGATCTGGCTGGTCACCGTTTTGAAGACCACCACAGGCATCAAGGCATCAGATCACTCATCAACAAGATCTGTCCCCACTATTGCACCCACAGTGCCATCTCTACATGCAGCTGACAGCAAATGTTCTAACTGAATCTGACAGACACTCCTGTGCTTTAGCACATAAAAGAGCTTACTAGTCCCTGTTGCCTGTAGCAGTCTATCAATTAAATACTTAAGAAATCACGGAGAAGATTTATGAATGACTTGGAAGTCTAAGTAGTAATTTCTAAAACACTGTAGTGTTTTTGTGTTATTAGAGATATTCTAAACACATTTAGAGTTTTCAAAGAAGCTATAAAAACAAATACAAACATATGTAAGTAATTTTGCCATAGATGTATACTAATTTGGGGGAGACTGTTGAGTCATAAATAAATGAGACAGACATCCTAAAAATAATTGTAGAAATTATCAAGTACCACTTTCAGATGATTCAAGTATCAACTTGGTATGCATGTAAGTTCATCAATTTCTTCATCTCTGATTTCATATTAAAAGTGCTACATCTTACTTAGGTATTGATATTTAGAAAGTTTTAAAATCAACCTCTTGAAAGACAAGCCAGCTTTTTCAGATGGTGAGTTTATCTTTACAAACATTAATGCCTTTACTGTTTCAATAAAACCAAACAAAATTTTCTGAAGTATATTTCTTACAAGTTTCTGATTAACTTCTTTTGGATATATTTTGAGGTGGGTAACAAAATTTAGACCAGACTAGGTTTTCATATATCAAGAGAAGAAAAACAAGGAGAGTATAGATGAAAGGTATGGAGGTTCTATACTATGTACCCATCCTTGCTCTGTGCTGGAATCATCACAGGAACCGCTCCCATTCGACTTAGATTAGGGGCAGCTACCTTAGTGGGAGGGAGAGTCGGACTCTGCGGAGTGCGTTCAAAGTCTTCACTCGGTACTTGGTTATACTGAGTCTTAGAATATCCTTCCATGTTGGAAGGAGACATGGATCCCAAGGATGAATGATTGCTGCCTATGTAGCTTCTGGCAGTGGACGTACGGCTCTTTGGAGGCGGCACATCTTCCCTGGAAAGCAAGGTCCCCAATACAGGTTAAAAGAACAAGTTTCTAAAAACCTTCAATTACCCTTGTTTGTAAGCTATGAAGCATGGGTAAGGGGATCTAGTTAAGTACTAAGTATATAAAAGTATATGTGTGTCACAAAAAAAGCAAGCAGAGCAAGAAGGCATGCCATGAACTGTATTTGTCTCCACTTTATCATTTTGATTAGAATGTCTAACTTCACTCATAATGAAATATAGTTTTTATACAAATGCATATGGTTCTATAATGTTGCCTTACAAGAATGAATCTCAAATAATTTCATATCTCTAGTATTACTGATCAAGATAATGTAGTTACAGTAATGTAATACTTTATAACTGATAAAACACTAACACCTACAAATATATTTCTATCCTAAAAATATAAAAGAAAAAAGTTCCTTTTTGCTATGAAAGTTATCTAAGACCTTAACTGAAAACCTTACAGATTTAAGTTTGCAGACATAAGAATGTTCACTCCAAGCACTGAAAAAGAATATATATTTGAGTTACTGCTGATGCATTTTAAAAATCCAAGTGCTCAGACCCCACCCCTGACCAAACAAATATCAATATCCAGGGTATACAGTCATGAGTTAAGAGTTCTATAATCCAATGTGCACTTCTAGTTAAGATCTACTAATTTAGAATATTAAAAAAAAAAAAAAAAAATCACACTACCAATAGTACTACAAACTACCACGTCACTTGATACTATCAGATCTTAAAAAAAACAAAACAAAAACAAAAAAACTCAACATCTCCATTTTTTGAAAACTTCATCCTGGCCATTTTATTGTGAGAAGGCATTTTGCAGTGGGGTAAAATGGGGTGCAAAAAAGTTTGGGGAGAGGGAGACAATGCAGGGTGGTTGGACTTGTGCACTTGAAACTGAATGTAGGGCTGGCTGGTTAGTGTAGTTGGTTAGAGCACAGCCTTGTAACACCAAGGTCAAGGGTTTGGATCTCCATACCAGCCAGCCACTAAAAAAAAAAAAAAAAAATTCTCATAGGGTAGATGCTTCCAATGGTTAGAGACATGTTTGGTATATATGAGTTAACTCCTGTTTCACTTAAGTACCTGATGTCATGATGAACTTCTTTTTCATATTTTTCTTCTCTGCGCTTTTTATGACAGCAAAAGATGATAAGACCAATGAGCACTAGAGCAAGCAAAGTTCCTATAATGGCTCCTGCAATTGTTCCAGCTCTATTTGCAGCTAGAATAAGATGTTAATAAGAATTAGTAGTAAACCAAAAAAACTACATTGATATTAAAGGTAAGATACATATTGATAGATTGATTTCATTGCACATATTCAATTTAAGACACAAATTACTTACTTGGTTTGATCCAGGGGAAAATCCATAAAAAGAACTTTTCTTCTGAACTGTGTAATCTGTTTCAAAATGATAAAACCTGTCTAATAGATTTTAATATCAAAGCTATCTTGGTTAGCATATAAGAATATTCTAAGCTACTTGTATTTATAATGGCTAAGTATGGTACAAGAGTTGATGTGACAACTCTTACCCTCCTAATATCATTGCAATGATGGTTTTGTTAGTAAAATGTATTTTTGCCTCTCTGCAAGCTAGAGAAGCTAATAACCAAGCCACAGAGTGTTCAGATCAAAGTTAGCATCCCCTTGCCCTCAATACATACTTGCTGACCGAACTAAACCAAGTTATATAAAGATAACAGAAACAAAACAACGTATCATAACAGATAGAAAGAACATACTTACGAGGAACAACATCTAGGCGCAGGAGGCACTGATCAGAGCCCACTCTGTTTCTGACTGTACAGCTGTACATCCCAGAGTACTCAGATGTGGCATTTTTTACAGATATAACAGATGAAGTCATTTCTACGGGAAGAGTAGAAAAAGCAAACTCATTTTTCCAGTATATATTGCTCTAAGTTTGTAGTAAAGGTAAACCTTACCAAGTTTGACAATCCAGTTAAAAGCAAGACAGACCAAACCTGGGTGCAAACAAACTGCATTAAGCCACATGCACTTCGCCAGCATTCAAACAATCGTGCTTCTAGTTCATATGTATCAAGGCGAAAATAACCATGATCCCCTCAGCCACAGAGCTTCTGCTGAAGTAGGGGCATTGGTCCACTGTGTGTCAGTTGCAAACTCATTTTGGGTCATGTCTGAATATTAAAACATCCCATTCCACAAAGACCTTTTCATGCAGCAGGAAAATTTACAAGACCTATTTTATCCCCACAGATGGAAGAAACATGGAAAATAAGTCAGAAGGGGTCACCAGTTTGGCCTCTTAGTTTGAAAAAAAGATAGGCGGAGAGAAATGCTACTTAAGACCCGGGTGAGGTAGATGGGGAAAGGGTGGAGTATGCTAATTAGTTTGAACTAACAGGTGAATGGAACAAACAGGTGAGGAACCAGACTTGGCCAATTTGTAACTTTCTAGTTAGTGTCACCCAGGTTTTTAAAAAACTTATTTACAGACACACCATGGGTAAATTACTGCATCTTCAACACAAATCTAGACATAACAATTAAGATCCAACTCTTGTTATAATTTAGTCACTACCTAATTTATGATCATGAATATTTTCCATCAATTAAAAAAAAAACCACCAAAGTAACTAATTGTAATATCCTGAAAGGTGAACTCATTACAGAAATACCTCTTCATTTATATCATATACTGTCATTATAAAACACTGACTAATTCCTACAGACACCCTGATTGTTATGTATAGAAAAGGGAAGGCATTTGGGAATTAAAAATATATAAACATGCACACAAAAACACTACTAGATTTAAGTCCAAATCAATGGCACAGGGTACAAATTATATTGTCATTAGTACCTGCTAACCATGAGGTGGGCATTTTCTGTGAATCAGACAACTTTTGCCATTCATATTGTAATGGAAGTGAACCTTCTTTTGGTTCACATATTAGTTTAAAGTCACTTCCAATTTCTTCTGATCCATCAACGTAGCATCTTGTACCTGAAGGTTTAACTGAAAAAAAATAATAAATCACGACTATATAAGTGAATGGAATTCATTTTTTATAGTGATTACTTAAACAGGCAGCATGGTGCACAACCACTGACTCATTATCATTTGGTCCCAGGTTAAGAATTGACAAAAGACCACAACTGGTTGTCAACATCAGTTCTTAGCTTTATCCAACACAAAACAGGAAAGAATGAGCTTAGGCAAGGAGCCATTGCATAAAGAGGTTTGTCTCAGTGCCCCTCTGTTCCACGGGGCAATCCTGTGGAATGCAAAGATGATGTGGGCTGCACCACTTGACTCAAGGAAGCTCCCCCCTCCATTCTTTACCTATTTTTCTCCATGCTTGACATGTAGCCCTCTGGAAGCGTGTACCAAGTCACACCCCTCAAGTACCATTATCCCAACAATCAGGGGGGTTATAATCAATAATGCTGATAACAGAGACAATTCACTTAGTGCAGCAAGGACCAATTAACATTCTGTATTTATATTAACTCAAATCCATCCAGAAAGCAGTGTTATAAAAAGGCATATCTGAGGCTATATTTCAGATCTTTCTGTGTAATTGTTTAGAAGAGCTGCTAACCACATTACCTGCAACTCACCCTAACCCTGGATCAACACTTTGGCATTGCATACTTTTCTACTGAACTTTATTAAGGCAAAATATTCATACAATAAAATTAACATGTTAATTATGTGGGTTGATTACGTTTTTTTATTAAAGCATAATTGATTATACATATTTGTGGGGTAGAGTTGACTATCAATACCTGCATACCACGTTTGATGGGTTGATCACTTTTAATAAATGTATATATACATATATCCACTAAGCACCACTCCAACCCTCTCCCAAGAAAGTCCTCTTATGCTGGCTGCAGTAGATCTCACTCCAAAACCCTGGCCCCAGACAGCCACTGATCAGATTTCCATTGCTATAGATTAGATCTGCTTCCTCTAGAATCTTATGAATGAAATAATACAGTCTGTGCTTTTTTGTCTTCTTTTATTCAGCATAATAATGTTTTTAAGATTGATCCATGTTGCTGTAAATATCAGTAGTCCTTTTTTATTGCCAAATAGTATTCCACTGAATGACTAACACAAGTTTATCCGTTCACCTATTGATGAACCCTGTTTCCAGTTTGGGGACTACTGTTACAGCCTAATTAGCCAAACTGACAAGGAGCAAGTGTGTAGTCTCTCAAAATCAGATTGACAAGACCGAGGGAGGCACTATGAGGAACTGTGGAATGCCACTGGACAAGAGGAGGGTTTCTGAAGGGTTCTGAAGAGACTCCAAGGGAAGCGGTGGTCAGCTCTCAACCAGCTGTTTCTGAGGAGAGATTAGGAGAAGCAGGGACTTAATAGGGAGCGGGTGCTGTCAGGAGACCGGGCCATTTAGTAACTGAGTATCCCAGTAAAGGATGGGAAGTGCAAAGTGGGTTGGGGGTAGCATTAGGAAGACAGCAGTAGTCTATAGTTTACTGCTGTTCTATGACCTTGGGAGAAACAGTATTTCCTATAAATTCAGTAGCTGCCTTTATCTGCATCTATCTATCCTCCCAGCCTAATAAATGGTAAGACTGCTTACTTTCTTTTTTTAGTCTAAGCTGATTTTCGTCTTTTCAGTCCGGGATGGGTTTTTATTTTTTTTGCTACCATGAATAATAAAGGTGAATGGGTATTAGGATTTTGCACTATCATGAACAACACTGCTTGAACACTCATGTAAACACTGGCATATGTTTTCCTTTTTCTTGGTAATTGCTGGGTAATATGGTAAGTGCATGTTTAACACTGTAAGAAACTGCCAAACTCTTTCCTAAAGTTGGCCAACAGAATTTGTCATATCCAATGGGGTATCTTTAACTAAGGCTGTCAGTCATGACCTCACTCCTAACATTTCTAAATACTTCTTAATAAATTTAATTCTATTTCTCCCCTTCATCTGTTACTACTTGTACATTTTAGTAAGGACCAACAGATGCATTTAACTGCATTGTTGATTTTTCTAAGCAAATCTATTTCTTTTTGAGACTAATCGGTTGCCCCAGAGACTACATCAACTGGACTTTTAAATAAGTTGTGCAAATTATTTCATCCTGTGAGTCTTCAATGAAATGAGCCTTGTTCTCCATTTATTTAAACTACCAGTAAATCCTTTATTAGAATAAGCTACCAGTAAATAAGATACTAAAGCCATGCTTTATGCACCAAACATCTATTGGTAATACAGTATTCTAACCCTAACTCTAACCCTCATACTTTCTATTGAAAATGTCCCTTTCCCATTTACCAAACATATTTAATAATAGGCAGTTATTTAAAGCTGCTCCTTAGGAAATTCAGGGCCCAGCTGAATCTGAGTTTTCAACATACCTCATTCACAACAGAACAAGATTTTACCAACAATGGTTTCTAAACGTCACTCAGGAGTAGCCCACCTGCTTTCCACTAGGAGGAGAAAGTGCAAGTCTTCTCCATGCCTATCACCAACCATTACACCATAGAGAAGATTAACTCCTAATCCATGGCACTTTTGCTGGAATGCAAGAAAGAAAACCACAAAGGGAATGCAGATAAAGCCTTGTTCCCCGAATATTTCTTTGGTCTGGGCTTCCAGAAAACCTGGCCATTGTCCTTGGAACATTTGCCTCCATGATCTACAGAGCCAACAGTCCTTCCCAGATAAGGGTACATGACCATCAAGGTGTATAGTATCCCACCTATTTAGTAATGCTGTGCTCCATACGTGTACTGCATAATCATCCTTCCATGCTGGTGGCCTATGTCAGTCTACAGGAAATACACTCTACTATGGTCTAAATGTTTGTCCTCTCCATAGCTCATGTGGGAGCTTGATTCCAAATATGGCAGTGTTGAAAGGACTTTAAGAGGTGACTGAATCATGAGGATGATGTTCTCATAAATGGATTAATCCATTCGTGGAGAAATGGGTTATCGGTTTAATGGTTATCACGGGTGTGAATTGGTGGTTTTATGAGGACAGCAAGTGAACACATTAGCAAGCGCTCTTCTCCGCCCTGAACCCCTGCACCACCTGCACCAGGAAGAAGGCCCTCACCAGATGTGCCCCTTGGACCTCGGACTTCACAGCCTCTAATACTGTAAGAAATTAATTTCATTTTCTTATAAATTACCCAGTTCCAGGTATTCTGTCATAAGCAGCAGAAAACAGACTAATGTATTAAATCCCTATATGGAACAGGATACACTTTTATCATGATGTCATCCTTCCAGGAATGCAATTTCTGCTTGGTTCAAAAATACCCTGGCCCCAGGTAAAATCCATCAAGAGATGTTAAAATCAATCAGCAAAAGTTACAGGAGAAACAGGATATTTGCAGCCTCAAAGTAGCTCCCCCACGATAATTTTTAATTACAGAGGGAAAATTAGTTAACTTTACAGTGCAGAAACTCATCAAATAAAACTTAAACCAAGTGATCACAATTAACAAAAAGATATGACATCATGTGCCCTTTGACATGACTGGAGGAGATTAAGGAGACATAACTGCAATGTGGCTTCTAGACTCAATCCTAGTACAAAATTCAAATTAGGCTGTAATTTGGTTAGCAGTATTATACCAATGTTAATTTCTTTGTTTTGATCACTGTAATGTGATTTTTGTAAGATGTCAACATAAGGGGAAGGGCTGGCTAGTTAGCTCAGTTGGGTAGAGTGTGGTGTTATTGCACCAAGGTCAAGGGTTCAGATCTCCATACCAGCTAGCTGCCAAAAAAACCCAAAAAACAAGAACAGCAACAACAAAAACAGTAGGGGAAATTAGATGATAGGTATACTACTCTCAGAAATTCCTGTATTTTTGTAACTTTTCTATAAAAGTAAAAATTATTTCAAAATAAAACTGTGTATGGGGAGGAAGCCCTGCCCTCTGCCAATGGCTTGTAAATCTCTCAGAACCTCTAGGGCCAATGTTGACTAAGCTACCCCACATGCTGTTGCTACTATGTCCTGGCAGCATGGTACAATCCGAGTGTACATTATACAGCCAGCAAACCGCTAACTGTGCATGATCTACTCTTCAAAACAACTCAGTCCCTTCATACCAAAAGCTCTCAATATTAACCCTTTCAGAACTCCAGGGGAAGGTGCTGGTGTTATGTGGCTACAATATTAACCTTCAATTAGTTCCCTCTGTTGTCATTACCCACTTCAGCTTCTTTACTGAGCTGCATCCACAAGCACTTTTGGTGTATCTGAAAGAGCAGGGCAGACTCTGGCAATGGGGCAGTCGATAGCAACAGGCCACCCCTCATGACCAGACAATGAACAGCCATCTGGGGTCATGTCCACACAGTGCACAGGGCTCAATGAATGAACTATCATTACCCTGTGAATGCCATGATGGCAACTCCTTCAGATTTCCCATAAAAGAACCAAAGTATTAGGCAGAGCCACTAACAGTGAACCAGTGAGAGCTCCAATGAACTACCACTTAGCTGGGTCACTAGAGGGTAATTCATCTTATCTTTCCCCCAGATTATCCAGGCAGAATTTCAGGCAAAGATAACAGATAAGCTTCCATCCTATTCTCACAGTCAACAGACATCCATTCTGGTGGTTTCTCCCACAGCAGTCATGACTCATCTGAAAACACGGAAGAGCAAGCTACAAGAAATCCTTTTCCAGCTCTGAGACAGCCTCACCAGATTAGCTAATATGTTAATAGTTAATATATGTTAATAGTTAATAATATTAATAGCTAATATGTTAATAGTTAGTAATCCCTACATCCCTTCAGAAATCACTTCTCCCTTTCTCCTCTTATCCCCAGTTTATACCCTTTCCCTCCCTGTTTTGAATTCAAGACTTACCGGGTGATGGTTCCCATTTATCTCAATGCACCTGCACCATCAAACAGGGGGTTCACAATAAATAATTGTGATAACCAGGTTTAATCTGCTTGGTATATCATGAACCAGTTAAAAGTTTAACCCTTTAACAAAAAGGTTTGAACTATATGCATCCACTTATACATGGATTTTTTTCAATAAATACAGTATATGAGAAAATTTTTGGTTAAGTGTCATGAATATATGACTATATATGAATAAATGAATATAGGCATGATATACCTAACCAAACAGTTAAGTAGCCTACCTGACAGTAGGCTATTAGTAGGTGATAGGTAGTTAAGTACTTTACTACTATTTAAGTAAAGATGCTTTAGGGCTGGGGAGCACAGTATGGCTTGAGGAATCAAAGTTCAATACTTCCAGGCCGGCCCATGGCTCACTCCGGAGAGTGCGGTGCTGAAAACACCAAGGCCCGGGGTTCGGATCCCACATAGGGATGGCCGGTTCGCTCTCTGGCTGAGCGTGGTGCTGACAACACCAAGTCAAGGGTTAAGATCCCCTTACCGGTCATCTTTTAAAAATAAAAATATTTTTTTTTTTGTTATTTGAATCTTCTCTCTTCTTTTTTTTGTTAGCCATGCTAATGCTTTGTCAATTTTATTTATCTTTTCAAAAACCAACTTTTTGATTCATTGATCTTTTGTATCGTTTTTGGGGTTTCAATTTCATTAAGTTCTGCTCTGATCTTAATGATTTCTTTCCGTCTGCTAACTTTAGGTTTGGCTTGTTCTTGTTTTTCTAGTTCTTTAAGGTGAAGTGTTA